TTTATTGTTTTTTTTTTTTTTTTTTTTTTGAGAGGTTTTTCTCTGTAGGGTGCATGTGCTTGCCAGAAAGACACAGAGAGATAGAAAGCAAGAAATCACCCCCTAGGCGGAATGGTCACACCACAATACCTTCTCCATTCTCCTCTGGGCACACATGCATGTGGGCCCAGTTTGAGTTTAAGCCACCAGGTCTGGTACTTGAACCGTGGATGGCTACATGGAAGTCCAGTGACATAGCTGTTACGCCAACTGCTGGTCCCCAGTTTTTTCATTTATTTTTTATTTTTTAGAACTTTTTGCCTTAGGGTGCATGCTCTTGCCAGAGAGAGAGATACAATGAGAGGAAAAGTGAGAACTCACCCCCAGGGTGAGTCACATTTTAAATGACTTTTTATTCTGCTGTAGTGTAAGAGACTCTGATAGTGTAAGTAGATTCAGTATCAGAAGAGAGTTTCATCTTACTGGCTACATTTAAAGCCTTCAAAAAAGCTCATATTCTGGATCAGGGAGGAAAAAAGAGCCTAGAAATTACACACACTACAGGAAACCATGAGGTCAGGAGCAAATGCATGGAGAGACACTGCAGATGTCAACAGAAAAGAGCATTTTAATGGGACACGTGGAAAAGCGCTAGAGAGATTTTTAGAAATATTTCGAATCAAAATGACTTTTACATGTTTCTTTGTTGTATAAGCTGAAATATCTTTAAAAGCTTGACCTAGCTTCTAAATAACTTTAGTACTTCATCAGTCTCTGTCCACTAAAATAAATCGCATTGTGCTGCTTTGAAAGAGAAAGAATTTCAGCAATTTTGTTTTAGCTTCTCATCTCTCAGGAAGGAAATCATTCTAGAGCAAAGCTTCATAGATTTAATATAAGATAAACAGTTCTTTTTTATTAAACTTAATATTAATATAACAGAGCTGTAGGCATAATTCATTTTAATATTAATATAAAATCAAGCGCTACTTCTTTATACTGATTACTTTGACATGTGAACATACTAAAGGTTCAAAAAATAAATAGCAATTAGCTAAAACTTGAAATGAGCAGAGAAAATATGCCGAGAAGTTATAGATGGATTTTAATGTCATTTATATGAAAATGTTATCTGTTTTGAGATAAGTGGAGAGTAAAACAGTCATTTAAAAGAAGTTGTGAAAAATGCAATGCATAAAATCTTTGTTATGGTGATTTTTTGGAATGTGAGAAAACTTCTAGTTCTTACTTGTTCACAGGAGAAGTAATTTCGCATTCTTCATTTAACAAAGTATTTGTTGACCACCTACTACGTATGTACTAGGTCCTGTTCTAGACACCTTTGTTAACAGTAGTGATACAGGGCGGGAGAGAAGATTAGGTAGGAAATACTAAAAGCAACAAAAGGAGTGGTGTTGTAATTTTATGCACAGGAGTCACCGAGAACCTCAGTGAACAGATGATAGTAAAACATAGTCTTTTAGAAGGTGTGAGAACCTCAGTGAACAGATGATAGTAAAACATAGTCTTCTAGAAGGTGTGAGATTGAGCTATGGAGAATAATGAGCCTGGGGAAGAGCATTCAAAATAAACAGGATAGAAGATTCAAAGGTCCTGGGAAAGTGATATATTTGCCATATTCAAGGAACATCAGGAAATCACTGAGTTGGCAGTGGAGTGATTGAAGGGTTCTGTGGTGGGGGACAAGGTAGGAGAGGTCAAGGGAGTCAGATTTGTAAATCTTCACAGGTCATTCGTAAGTTCCTTGGCTTTCATTGGAAATGATTTAAGACTCATTCCACAAAGGGATATGAAGAGAGGATGACAGGATCTGATTTTTATACTCATTTTGTGTTCCTCCTATAAAGGAAGATAACCTGTCTTCCTAGGTTAAGAATAACTTAGAAAGAAGTAAGGAAGAACTGTTAAAAAGATACAGCAGTAATCCAGGAAAGAGGTGATGATGACTTGAATTAACAGTGGTAAAAGTGAAAGAGGACTGACAAAATTGGTTTGCCAAAAAAAAAAAAAAGTAACTAATAAAGAGAGGAATCAAAATGAGTCTATTGATTTTAACCTAAGTTAACTAAAAGTGTTGTTTACTGAAATGAGACTGTAAACAAGTCGGTTTAAGGACAGTCATCAGAAGTTTGATGTGGTACATATTAAGTTTGAGATGCCTATCAAATTTCCACTAAAGTTACTGAGTAATTTGTTGTATGCAACTCAGGATTTTGGGAGAGAGTTCTAAGACAAAGATATGCAAGTGATATTTAAAGCCAGGAGGCTAGAGATAGGAAAAGAGGCTTAGGGCCTAATTTCAGGGCACTGAAATCTCATACTTATTAGAGATTAGGCAGATGAGAGGAACCAGCAGGTAGACTGAGAACTCAAACTGCATTAAGAAGTACTACTGGGATGAGCATTTGGCAGGGTGGTTAAGGTGCTGGACTCCCACATGGCCAACCGCAGTTGAAAATCATATTGGGTGCATGTGTATGAGTACCCAAAATCCTGAGAGAAGAACGGAGGATTATGGTGTGGCCATCTTCTTGGGGGGTGATTTCTCACTTTCTCTCTTTATGTCTCTCTCTCTGACAAGTGCATATGCCGATGGCAAGAAATCTTTTTAAATCTTTTTTTAAAAGTATCCCTATTAATAACTTATAAAATTTCTGAGCACATTGGTAATGTACAAGCCCTACTGACCTAAAGTGATTTTTTGGTAGAAATCACCTATTAATTTGCCATTTATCTGTTAACTGTATCTCAATCTTATATAGTTCTCTTTCTCACTCAGTCCCCTCCCTTCTTGCCTGCTTTATATTGCTTTGAACATCCTCACTGGAAGTGTAACTTTATCTGAGTGTAAAATGCACCTTTGAAAACTGTCAAAAGTAATTTGGAGAATCATCTGGTGAATGAAATGGGTGACCAAATTGGTTAATACTACTTTTGATCAAAAATTAGGCATGACCACTGAGTAATATCACTAAGTTGACTGGTTTATATGCCTGATCTAAAAGCAACTTTCAGCAAACACGCTCTAAGTGTTTTGAGAATGATAATATTCCTGGAATAAACATATAGTTTCTAAGAGGACTATTTTCAAGGCTAACAATCATATATCACATACTTATAAAAATTCTGTTAACTTGATTAACAGTATTTCTTGATATTCTATTGCTTTATTATATATGTTTATATGGATGTTTAAAATGCATGTAATGATAAATATATGAACATGCATGAGACCATAAATAATATCTCATGAATCTCCAGTTCCTAAGTTTCTTAAATAACTGCTATTCTCATTTAAGACAATTACCATATCAAAACAATAGTAAATGATTATTGTGATGAGTAAAAGATCTACAAAAGACATTTAAAATATTAAATATCCAGTTATTACAAAAACTGCTGAGTTGAACAGATTTACAAAGAAGCATTCTTGGATGTCTCACTAAGTTTGTAATGATGTATCTCCTGCAAAGTATGCCAATAGTCTGTTCACTAGACAAATATTTATTTAGGTCTAGTTATGTTCCAGATACATGTCAGATGGAAAGAATTTGCTCTTTTAGATCCTTTCAAATACATTCTGAGAGGTTTATATGCATAAAGAAGAGAGCCAAGAGTGTACTAGTGACTTTCCACGTCCAATATAACCTCCTGGGGAGTTACACCCTGAGGAGATCTGTTTTGACTAGTGTTGAGGGAGACTGGAAGAGCTGGTGAGGTTTAGAGGGATTACCTTTTCTACTTATTGCACTTGGACTTATAATTAGTCACTCACCTTGTGACACAGAACCTCTCTCTCTTTCTAAATGACATGGTCCAATTACCATTCTTGCCTGTGACTTGAGCCATCCTTGGGGTGTCATAGAGAGGGGACCTTTTAGTTTCCCTTAGAGGCTAACGGTAGATGTTCTTCTAGACTCCAGAGATGAAAAGATGGGGTTCCTGTTCTGAAAATTTTTATCACTTTTTGTGGGGAAAAAATATACACAAATGATTACATCAAAAAATGTTGACTATTATGATGAAATAAACTCAAAGTATATGGGAATTTGGGTGGCAACCCAAGAGTTCTACGCTTCATAAGAATGAACGGATATTAAATAAAGAGAGAATCAGTCTTCCATTGAGCTTAGCATCATGAGATAGATGGGAATTTGGGGACTGAGACATTTTTATTTTATTCCAATCACTCCTGCTTTCTCAGAGCCTTTTCAGTAGGTGGTTTTTTTATTTTTATTTTTTTCCCTGACATTTCATTTTGAATAAAGTTCAATGTCCGTTGTAGGACTTTCTCTGTGAAATATTTTATAGTCTTGACTTCAAGGATCAAGTCATACTGAGGCAAAAACATGTAATTGGCTCATTGTTCTTCACTTAAACTTGGCCATGAGATCCATTCCTTTCATTAATGTTGACACTAATTACCCAGAAGAGGTTAGTGGTTTCTAAATGTAGGTTCACATATTTCTTATTATATGCAATAAACTTACAATGTTTTTCATGTGTTTCACTAGTACAGTCAGCTTTGTATCTTCATATGATATAACCAACTGAACCTTGGGCTTCTTGTCAGGATGTTTCGCACCTGATAAAACAATAGAATTTCAATGAGTTCAGTTGGAAATAGCTCATTACAGAATAAATTGAATATTTAAAAACTAAAATAGGGCCAATGAGTAATACATAAAAGAGGCATTCTTCAAACAATGTGGAGATCTTAATACTCCTCAGGAGGCAGGATTGATTAGATAGAGATAGGATTTGTGTCTGATCTTCTTGACCTGACTCTTCCTTCCATTATTCTGTATTTTGTCTTGATTGGTACCATTACATTCTTCCTTAATTAACCTTAAAATTTCACTGTCATTTTTGGCTCCAATTTTCTCCTTAATATTCAGTATAATGAGCTTAAAGTATCGGTTAGAAGAGTGGGTTTTAGAAGTCAATGAATCTGGAGTTCAAGTTTCAGCACTTCTATTTCTGACTGTGTCATCATGACTCAGTTAATCAACTTTCTATAAAATGGATATAACAGTTGTCTATTCCAGATAGTTGAGATGGTTAGCTGATAAAGTTCAAAAATTGACACATAATAAATTCTCAATAAATGTTTGTAATCACTAATAGTCTTTTCCTATATAATTGTAGCATCTTTTCCTTTCCTATCCCATAATATCTAATTCAGACTCATAAACCTTTTGTCTGAACTACTAGAATATTCTCTCACCCTTGTCTAGAACCCTTATCTACTTGTATACAATCACCAATCTTATTGCAATTCTTACAGCAACTTTTATAACATTACTCATTTACTCTAAGAAATTAATGGAAAAAAATGAATTTCTCAGCTTTGTATGTTGCTTAGTAATCTTTTTTTAGTCCTCACTGTTATTCTATACTGCAGCCGATTTGTTTAGTTCTACAAAGACA